GGTTGCCCAGAAAGCGTTCCGTAGGTGCTGGTGATGCCGCTGGCCCTACGACCCGCAAAAGACGGATACACACCCCTTCGCGTCCTAGCATATTCGGCAAGCATATGAGGGATTTTGCTGCTCCGGGATCACATATGGAGCCGGAAAGTGAAGATGAAGAAATTCTGGATGACGAAGCTGAAGATGCAAGTGAGGAGCCTGTAGAGGAAGAAGAGGAAGAAGTGGAAGTCGAGGAAGAAGTGGAAGAAGTGGAAGATGATGAATCTCAATCTTATGCTCCGTCAGACAATGAGGAGGATCACCCTCCCGAAGATGTTAGCAGTGACCACCATAATCACGAAGCCAGCAATGGCAATGATTCTCAAAACTCACAACAGCTTAGCTCCTCGGGGGAGAATATAAGCGAGGAAGAGAAAAAGCGTCATGAAGAAGCAGAAGTCCAACGACTCATCCAAGAAGCAGAGGAGAAAGCAGCATTGCCACAAGACAACAACATTCATCGCGCCAACAAGATGAATAAGGGGGCTGCTCACCGTGACTCTACTGTGCAGCTAATGAGTACTATCGATGGTTCTCTTTCCAAGATACAATCACAGCTTGGGCAACTACAGGAAAGCCTCCGCCGTTGGGAAGAGCACCACGGCCCCTCCCAGGGCGAAGATGAGACGGCAACGCAACAAGAAACGGCTGAGGAAAGGCTATCATTAACGGTTAGCAAAGATGACTTTGCCAACATGCGGATAGTCGGGCAGTTCAATCTCGGGTTCATTCTAGCTACGCGCTCATCCGCCGATGACACGGGTACTGAATCATCGGCGAAAGACGAACTCTTCATCATAGACCAGCATGCCTCTGATGAAAAGTTCAACTTCGAACGACTGCAGGCAGAAACCGTGGTGCAGAATCAGCGCCTCGTCCAACCGAAGCGCCTCGATCTCACTGCAGTGGAGGAGGAGATTGTCATTGAGAACCAAGCCGCGCTGGAAAAGAACGGCTTCATTGTAGAAGTGGACGAAAGCGGAGACGAGCCTATCGGGCGCCGCTGCAAGTTAGTCTCGCTGCCCTTGAGCAAAGAAGTGGTCTTTGGGATTCGGGATCTGGAAGAGCTCATTGTTTTATTGTCGGAGACGCCTACCAACGCTGCACGGTCAGCATCAGGATTGTATATACCTCGTCCGAGCAAAGTGCGGAAGATGTTCGCCATGCGGGCATGTCGGTCGAGCATCATGATCGGCAAGACCTTGACGGTCAAGCAGATGCAGAAGGTGGTGCATAATATGGGCACCATTGATAAGCCGTGGAATTGTCCCCATGGCCGGCCAACTATGAGGCACCTGATGAGCTTGGGGCAATGGAACGAATGGGATGAGTTGGCTGATGAGGAAGACCAACCAGTAGATTCATTGGATATATGGCGAGGGTTCTACCAGGAAATGGCTGCACAGAGTGAGGAGGAAGCTGAGGAAGCTGAGTAGATCTAAGTTTGATTGCTCGGGTTTACGGTTTACTTTTGAATAACATTATAGACCAGCGGAGTCATTGGATATATATTTTGAGGATTAACCGATATTCTATCTCATCTACGATTGCGTTTATCACCCTTTGAAAAACGCTTCACCCTTCAATATTCCGAACCTGAGTGCGGTCAATGAGAACAGATTACGACTGGATCATAAGCTATCACATCATACTCCAATGCGATGGATTTGCTGAGACTACGCGAGCCCGATTGCTGCGTATCTGGATGCATGAATGAGGGACCCTCGGGATCGGCACCCGAAAGGATAGACGCACGATAACAGTCGGTACCTACGCCGAAGTTATCTCAATGGTTGGTGCATCATGGCCATCTCTTGGCCACTTATCAAGTAGTACGACACGTCACGATTGGATGCAGCTGCAGGTCTCCTTGCAGTTGCAATTGGGATTGCGGGGATGCCACACTCCCCGCTCGGGACTCCTCCCGACAGCTGCTTCTACAAATACCCTTCCTTGCCCGAAAAGTCTCAACTTTACACTCAGTATATACATGACTAACAGACCATCATGCGGACACTTTACTTCTCACCTCGCGTGCGCGCATCGATTCTGCACACCACCCGAAGGGCAGGTCAGCCACTGCGAGCCCTCAGTCTATGGCATCCTCCCAAGTTCGAGAATGAGAAGCCAGTAAGTGTCTCCTTCGATACCATGACACTCACTAACATCACCAGCTCGACTACGCAAAAGGCTCATCTGAGAGGGCTGAGTTGACGCAAGCTCTACAGAAGCTGAAGAGTGAGATGCCCTTTAACATCCCACTCACCATCAATGGCTCCACAGTAAGTCACCTCTCCTGTGACCGAACCCACGCAGCTAACAATTCAGACACAAACTATCGAATCCCAAATCCAAAAGAACCCCTCACGCCACAACGAGGTAGTTGCCGAATATGCATCCGCTACGCCCGAGCAGATTAACACCGCCGTGGATGCAGCCCTCAAAGCCAAACCAGCCTGGGAGGCCATGCCCTTCGAAGACCGCGCGGCCATCTTCCTGCGCGCCTCCGAGCTCATCGCAGGCAAATACCGCTCTGAGATTGTTGCTGCCACCATGCTAGGCCAAGGCAAGAACATTTGGCAAGCCGAGATTGATGCCGCTGCAGAAACAGTCGACTTCTTCCGTCATTACATTCAAGAGTGCTGGTCACTCTTCGCCCAGCAGCCTAAGGTCCACCTCCCCGGCACCTGGAACAAGCTCGAATACCGGCCTCTAGAAGGCTTCGTCTACGCTATCGCCCCATTCAACTTCACCGCACTAGGCGCAACCCTCATCGGCCCAGCCGCCCTCCTAGGTAACGTCGTTATCTGGAAACCATCCGACTCTGCCCTCCACGCCAGCTGGCTCCTGCACCAGATCCTCCTCGAAGCCGGTCTCCCCAAAGACGTAATCCAATTCCTCCCCGGCGACGCCGAACAAGTAACCAACACGATCCTCCATCGTCCCGAATTTGGCGCCCTCACCTTCATCGGATCTACACAAGTCTTCAAAGGCCTGCAGAAAAAAATCGGCAATGCCATCGGCGAGGGAATCTACAACTCCTACCCGCGCGTGATCGGCGAAACCGGCGGCAAGAACTGGGGCCTCGTGCACCCCTCAGCGGATATCACCAACGCAGCTCTTAACACCATCCGCGGCGCTTTCGAATACCAGGGCCAGAAATGCTCCGCTAATTCCCGCGTGTACGTCGCCGAATCCGTCTGGCCTGCTTTCCAGCAAACATTGAAGGACCACCTCTCCCGCCTGTCTGTCGGCCCTGTCGACGAGTACGCCCACTTCATCAACCCCGTCATCCACGAACGCGCCTTCGACCGTCTTGCGGAGGTCATTCACTCCGCACGCAACGATCCCGAACTCGAACTCATTGCCGGCGGTATCGCTGATAAGAGTCAGGGGTACTACGTACACCCCACTGTATATCGCACCGCGAACCCGAAACATGAGATCATGTCTCGGGAGCTGTTTGGCCCTATTCTAGGCGTATATGTGTACCCGGACAACGAGTGGGAAGAGACGCTGAAGCTGGTGGATGGGACATCGCGCTATGCCTTGACGGGGAGTATTTATGCGAAGGAACCGTATGCGTCGCGACAGGCACAGACGGCGCTGCGTCATGCGGCGGGCATGCTGTATTTGAACACGAAGTGTACGGGATCGACGGTCGCGCAGCAGCCATTTGGGGGTAGTCGGGACTCCGGGACGAATGATAAGACGGGCACGATGGCGCATTTGCAGCGGTTTGTGAGTGTGAGGACGATTAAGGAGGAGTTTGGGAGCTTGGAGGAGGTGGAGTATCCTTCAAATGTTGTGTGATGCTGCAGCGTGTTGATAGTGGGTTAAGGTAGATTGATCTATTATACGATCTCAATTAGCATTAGTAAGTATCAGTAGTAGTAGTAGTAGCGTTGCATTGTTGAAGAACATTTCTAATACTACTATGTGTTGATGGGGCTGAATATATAGATATACATTTCTTGTAATTTCAAACTTCCAACGATTCCCCCGAATGAGATTGAGTTTTAAAATAACTTTATTCTAAGAGTAGCTGTCAATATACGTTCCCGACAAAGGCCTGTCTTAAACAAGTCATGCAGTCTTCTATTATCTGGAATTGCTCAATTTATGACGGAAACCCCGTTAGCCCTAGGGCTTTTACCTTCCACTGGCATCGTAATGAATGCAGTGGAATAAGCATACTTTAGTGAAACGCAACTAATCTGCAGAGTATATGGCTCACATTCCTGCAGCCGGAACGGATAACGGTTTCGTGAAAGATGATCGAGCTTGGCTCAATTGATGCGTTCCTGCAGGCAAGGGGGAATTGGCTGACGAAGTGCAAATACTATTTCGAAAACCAGAAGTATTCGGTTCCCCGTATCTGCAAACTACTTCCAACGTTGCCAGATAGCTACTAACTGTATAGCCTTACGTTACATCGGACGCAATAATGATGATGAGACCGCCAACTCTTCCATCATCATCAACATGTGAGCTGGGATCTGGACTGTAGGAGGATTCCGGTTCAATCCAATAACGCCCCAAGGGTTAAGAAAGGTCACACAAACATGCCGTGATTCCTGGATCCTACTATAATATCACCAAAGACTTACTGGTACTGACGAAACCAGATTGTCTACAATCTTAGTGAATTCGGCCAGTTGCAAGTCAACCCTACTCCCGCATATGTTCCTCAACCACAGCTCTTACAGGACAGCTTCAAAGTGGTAAGATCAATCCTAGTATTGGGTGTCATTCCATAATGAAATCAAACGTTAAGACATTCTCAGATACTATTAGGTGCTCGAAGTCTCTTACTAGATTCACCCCTGTCCCCTTTCTCCTCTTCCTTTTCCCCTTCCTCTTCCTTCATACAAAGAGGAGACATATGAAAACCCGACTGACAACGACAAATTTCCGGAAACGACCTGGGAGGGGAATACTGTCAATTGAATCATGTCACAATGTCGTTTCTGTCCAGCAATCCTCGTCTTACACAGAACGAAGGCCTAGCGCCTGCTTACAATTCACAATCCGAGCAACCATTCGCAAAACCACCCGTGGCCATCGAGTCCTACATACAGGACTTAATCGAACAGCGCTATCAAGAACAGCCTGAAGCTTCCGTAGTATGTGCTTGGGATGGCGATTTTACGTATCGGCAACTCAATAACTTGGCTCGCTCGCTCGTTGCGTTGCTGTCTGCTCAGGGTGTGGCACCCGAGGTTTTCGTGCCTATCTACTTCGAGAAATCCCGGTGGACAGTGATTGCGATCCTGGGCATCTTGCACGCCTGAGGCGCTTTTGTACTACTTGACCCATCACATCCGTTCCAACGACTCGAGAGCATCTGGCAAAAGGTAAAGGCACAGTTGGTGATAACTTCATCTTAAACTGCACCACGAGCTTGCCGTCTTGTCTCAAATGTAATGGTTGTAAATGAAAAGACAGTGCTGGAAGACCATAACTCGTTTCGAGGAGCAGATAATTGTTTAAAACCCAACAATGCCGCCTATGCTATGTTTACCTCCGGGAGTACAGGCGCTCCTAAAGGGGTGGTAATTGAACATCGATCTGTCTCATCTTGGGCCGTAGGCGACGGCCCAAGAGTATATCTCACCCACACATCGCGTGCACGTCAGTTTTCTTCTTACGCCTTTGATGGCTGTCTTATGGAGAGCTTCTCCGTGATAATACACGGGGGATGCGTATGTATTCCGTCGGAAGAGGAACGACGGAGTGACCTTGTCGCTGCAATGAATCGCCTGCGAGTTGATTGGGCTTTTCTCGCACCGGAGACTTGGTACAATATACCGACGACGGATGGATTCGCGGCACCGCCAGATACAGGCAAACCTACGCAATTACAATTTTAGATGAATTGATCTCACGACGACCAAAACAAATAAGTTAAACACCTTTCGACTGCCTGCATTGGAATCTTATTCATATGCCTCCAGGCATGAAAAATAAGCAATATATATAAGCCATATATATATTGCCCATTCACGAAATATCACCTTGGACAAACCCTTGCAAATAAATCAGATATTTATCAATCCTTGATACAAATGATGCAATTTATACAAATCCAGTTCAAAGTGAATCCTCGACACATTTTCACTCAGACAGAGACCCTAATTTATTTGATTATTTTGCATTTTGCAAAGAAACAGGCATTTTAGCCACCCAAAGCCCTGAGGGTCAACCTGAACAAAATGCCTTTGCAGAAAGGGCCGGAGCCCGAATTTCTCGAAAAAACCCGAATTTTAATGATCGATTCAGGGTTACCCCATTTTCTATGGCCTGAAGCAGCTGAGGTAGCAATATATATATTGAACAAAATCCGGGCTCAGTTGGATGGTAGGGTAAACTGAGGCTGATGACTGACAGGCGGCTCAGGGGCACTAGGCCAAAAATGATGGGCAGTCTAGTGGGACAAGGTCTAATATAAAGATAATAATACCTCTTCAATCACTTTATCAAAGAAGGTACGGTAGAGTAATGATTTGAATTCCAGCTGGGGAGGTTTTGTTCTGCTATTGCAGATCTAGATCGTGGGGTGGTTCCTCTTCGATGGGAGATGCAGAGGAAGAGAAGATGGGAGCATTCCATGGGAGGAAGAGTGTCATATAGTGGTTAGTGATCAAGGAAATTGACCTAAAGGCGTGCACATAATTCCATCGCTCCTAGATAACCACTATCTCCCAAGATTAATTAGATATAATCGAGGATTCCACGACCGATTAATTATTAATGTCAGATAATATTGAGCGCAAGTAGTCCTCCTCCTACTAAACCTTCTACCATCTACAACATGTAGTACTAGTAGCCCCGACCGCCTGATTGACCGCCAAAACCGGCAGAACCTAGCGAACCTCGCATCGAAAAGTACGGATATAGGCGGCTATAGACGGATATCCAAATTATACAGCCCCGAAAAACCGAGTCAGCAATCTGTATGTTTTTTGACCGCTTTGGGTGGAGGGGGCAGAATTGGGAGTCGGCGATGGATAGATAGTTTGTTCGACTAGATTGATATCGGGATAGAAGTTTCATTTAAGGGGTGTTTCTTTTGCTTGGATAGATGTAATTCTCTTCGTTTTTTAATGGGTATAGACGTTAATGGTAGAGATGTGTGTATCTACTATTTTCTTCGATCGCTTCGGTTCTAGCACAACATTCTATAGTCATAGCTCTTTAAAATAGTAGTGATGCTGATAAAAGGATCCTGTTTGGATATCCGTTTATATGGCAGTATAACTTTTGCCTTTCTTGAAGGATATAAAGGCTGTATAAAGTATTCGGCGTGCAATGAAGAAGTTTTTTTCCTTTTTTTCCAGTAATTACCAAGTCAATATCTGCCGTATACAATATGAATGAGTCCCCTCCTACCACCACTTAAACCACGATGATGATCCTGTCTTACTCCCGCTTCCACTACTACCATTAGTAGTACCTCCATCATCAACAACATTATCATCATCATCACCACTTCCTCCATCAATAGTACTAGTATTAGCACTCCCCTTCCCCTTCCCAACTCCATTCCTATCATCAATAATACCCCCATTCACCTCCCCTCCCCCCCATCCCCCTTACTCTCCACATACCCCATCATCTCCTCCAACACCAACAAATCCCTCTCCACCATTTCGGCCCAATTCTGCACGTCCCCGATCTCCTTCAACCCGTCCCGTGCCTCCCCCGCCAACTTATCCCAGCTCTCATTCTGCTTCGCCAGCGCAGCCGTATGTGCTTCTAGCTCTGCTTGCTGCTTGTCCAGCGCCGCGGCATTCTCTGTGATGGTGTGTGCGCGCTCCACGAGCGGGCTGGCATGTGTGCTGCCGATGTTGAGCAGCGTCGCGCTGAAGGCCGATTTGGCTTCTAGGGTTTCTTTGCTTTTCTCGGGGGTGGGGGGCATGGCTTTTTTATAATTTGGGGAGGGGTTTGTGGTGGTTGATGTGGAGATGGGTATGGTTATGGTTATCTGATAGATAGATGATAAGAGGGGGGTTGAATGGGTGGATGGATGAGGGGTGGGTGGGTTTGTGGGGTTCCCATGGGTTAAGGAAAGGGGAAGGTTACTTATGAATGGTTCTTTGTGCGGAAGAGGATTACTTAGCTCCGGTGTCCTCCTCTGGAAATGTTCCATGCAACATGTACGGCGCTAATGCATCTATTTATCTGTCTATCTGTCTTGTCTGTCATTCAACAAATGCAACCAAGCTAACATTGTATACATAACGCTGATAATGCATATTCAATTTTTACACATCAATGAATGTTGCCCACGCTAACGCCCGCCCGAAATTCATATACTGCCAAATGATAGCTATGTATGCTCGCGTATACACTGGAAAACAAAATCAATTACATCCATTACATCCCATCTCTTCCTCACGTCGACTTTTTACATATTGGCCAGCTCGTGGTCAATCTGTCGGTCGAGGAACGTCCGCTTGTCGCCTATCAACGTCGTTTGTAGTCGCTGCTCGACTAATGCGCGCACTGTTACGGTTTGTTAGCATTTTATCCTATCAACCCTCAGTGGAAGGTCACTCACCCTGCTTTTTCGTCACCGTGTCCAGATCTACCTCCGCCAAACAGGCGCGGATCGCCTCGGTGATCGACCCCTCGTCGGGCCCGCCGCTTCCCCGGAAGTCGAACGCACTCACAGGTCGCGATATCCCACCTACGGGACTGCGCGAGTTGGGCCGCCCGAGCAGGTTCTCCGTGCTTTGCATCAGCCCCACGCTGTGGCGGTTGGTCAATCCGTCCGGCACACTGAGATTGCCCACCGACCGTGACGCCATATGTCCACTGGCAAACGGCTGATCCGTGTATCGCGTAAGACTCGACATGTGCGAGTTGCGGTTACCCGGGGTGTTGGCAAACGGTGCTGGCGACTGCGGCGGCATGTACGGGCTGCCGTGGCGGCCCTGGTGATGCGGGAACCCCGTCAGGATCGTCGATGCCGGCTTCACCGAAGAATAGTTCGAGTGCATGTCATCCATCTCCAGCGCCATGTCATCATAACGGCCACTGTACATCTTTTCCTGGCTCATACCAAAGTCACCGCGCCGTCCCGGCAGGTTGTTGGCCAGCGCGTAGTCATCCCAGCGCTGTAGCGGCACGCTGCGCGGGTCGAAGCCCTCGTCGTCCACTGCCACCACGCGCTTGTTGCCCTGTTCTCCAATGACGATACGCGTGCTACCCCAACTGAAGTCGTCCTGCTTCCAGAACGAATAGAGCGGGAGAATGAAGTTGTAGATAGGATAGGCTAAAATGTAGATGATCATCCAGCCAATGTGCTGCCACTGCCGTTTCAGAAGGAAGATGATCGCCTGGAGACCATACACACCTGCCAGGATGACAATCGAAATCATAGGGAAGGGACCGGTATGACTGGCAACGCGGTAGATCAGGTAGCCCAGGTAGACACAAGTCGCAGGCAGGATGACCGTTCCGAGAAGATCAACCAACACGACGAATCGCATACTGAACAAGCAGAATCCGCACATATCTTTCAGCATGGCCACTTCCACCAGGTTGTGCACGGTTGAGTTGATCCAACGCCGACGCTGCGACAGCAAGACCGACCAGGTCTCTGGCGCGGCCGTACTGGCGTACGCATCCGGAATGAACTTGTAGGACATCTCCGGGAAGTGCTTCGTCATAAGTGTAGTTAGGAAACGATCCTCACCAAGCGACAGGAGGTTCTTCTTATGAAGAGTATCAACATCATTGTCGGCATACTCCTCAATAACCTTATCAGAGATGATCAGAGGCTTGCCCTTGTCGGCGGTCCGCAGACGGTACATGCAGAAACTGTTTCTGTTAGTCAACGAACCTGTCGAAGGATTGAATCAACTTACCATCCGGGAAGACATGTGACACTACCGAAAAGCGACTCGAATGCCTTGGCCAGGTGATGGGAAATATAGTACTCATACACCTGAATCATCGTCCACCAACTTCGCTCTTCATTTTGCAGACTGGTCTCACCACAAATACCAGCAATGCGTGCATCGTTGGAACAAGCGGCAACCAGACGGTTGAGTGAATCTTCTCGGACACTGGTATCGGCGTCCACCATTAGACAGTATTCGTAGAGCTCGGGGTCAACACCGATGACATTGTTGATTTGGTGGAAGATCTCCAGCTCCAGCGGCGACATAGGTGAACGATGGTGTACCCGATTGAGGAACTGCATCATCATGATCTGCGAGTCACGCTTACCCCTGTTTCCAGGTTTGGGCCGACTCTGCTCCGACTCCTTGCCGACCTTGACAACGACAATATACGGGACTACATTACCCTCATACTCGTAAAGGCCAGAATACACTTTGCCGTAGTTCAGCTGCTCGCTACCCTGGCCGATGGCCTTGCACGGTAACGCCGGGGGATCAACCTTGGGATCGACTCCCAGGATATCGAGAACAATCTTAGGCGTAGGTCGATCATTTCCGCCACCAACAATCATACCGTCACAAATGACAAATATGAGCTTCCTCTTGTTGTCGTACTGAAGAGCCGTGAGGGAGTCGAGACCTTTACGCAGCGCATCCTCGCCTTCTGTGTACGCCGGCACATGGCAGATAACGAACTTATCCTGTGGTGCAGGACGACGCTTGGAGCCAAGTTGAAGGGCACTAACAAACTTAACGAGGATAACAGCGCAGATGAGAACCGTGAACGAGAGAAGAATCCAGTTGTTAACCGTACAGCGGGGGCTGTCACGGAAATCCACTTTGCCTTTATAGAAGACATAGTCAAGACACGTCTGTGACTGCTGGAAGTCTGTTGTGTTCTGCCATTTGTCGGTAACATCCTCACCCGCATAATCCTTAAACAAGTCGGTTACGCTCGACGGTAGGAAGGCGTAAGTGTCGTCATCATCGAACAATTCGGCGGTATAGAAGTAGTCCGTGAGGTCATAGATTTTATCGTGAACGATGACCCAATACCGTGAACTATCCGTTGCTTGTTTTTGTATGGTGCTCTTCGACCAAACCAGGGGACCCTTGTAATAGGTCTTGATCTTGGGCAAAAAGATGTCCTCATACCAAGTAATGTTATGCAGCTTGGTGGTGGTACTGGGGGTGTGATAAGATCCACAGTAGTGCTCTGCGTTGGGATACTCGAGGGCATCGGTGTTGTTAAACTCCAGAGTGACTGACTGCTCCGTCACGTATGGCGAGCAGAAGCGAGTCAACGGAGGGGTGAAATACTGATCCAGAATCTCACCCGCGAATGGCTTCATGTTGGTCGTTGTCGTTTCAATCGAAGAATCACTGTGTTGAAGTCTCCAGAACTTGGTGATGTCGTAGACGTTTCCATGAATACTGACATAGAAATCGTTGTCGAGAGCATGCCAACTTAGTTCCTTCTCATTCCAAGCTTTGTCCTTGTTCGGGCAGAGCAGATCACCAAAGGCAATAATGTAAAAGCAAACCACACCGTTGAACAGCAGAATGATAAGCATCAGAACGAGCTTCTCGCGCCAGGCCATCCGGACATCGGGACGCTTCATCCGGCCAATCCAGCGCAGAGCGAATGATGGAATCCAGAAAGTCAACGCCCAGACAAATCCGACCCAGACGCGTCGGCCCTGAGTAATGGGCTTCTTCTCAATGTGTTTGGGGTCGCCGACTTCAGGGTCGAGCTCGCCGTTGTTATAATGGGCGTATTCGTCAGAATACGGATTGTCCCACTTCCTAGTATCACCCTTCGAGCCGAGACCATAATCGCCACCCACGTTTAGAGTCTGGGGGACACTTGGAGCGATTGATTTGGCGCCCCCATGGAAGCTGGGTGCCAACGTGCTCTGGCGGTGGTTGAGAAGGTCATCTCGACTGCCCAGAAGGCTGGTGGATTCTGCCATAGGAGTTCCCGCATAATGGGGCAACCCAGCATCGAGCATGGTGTTCCCGTACAGGAAAGGGTTGGCCGTCGCGGGCTCGTCTGGTTTCATGTCAAGCATTGTTTCAGCTTCCCACCATGCACTTTCTCTCATCCAGATTCGCTGGTGACCCACGAAGGCATCTCCGTTGGTCCAGCCTCTCTCCATCAACCAGCTCTCAACACCATCCCGACCCTCCGCGCATCCGAGACGGCAATAACGGCCGACGAACTCATCCATGTCGAAGTCAGCCGTAAAGTCAATCTGCCTGAGGCGTCGGTTGGCCCATTCAGCAAGTCTCCATTCCCGCAATTGCCGGGACACGACTCCGGCTGACCAGGCGGCCGTCGGCGAGAAGGTGTTGAGTGTCTCGGGCAGATCATCAGTCGGGTGGACGGAGATATGGTGCCAGACTCTGCTACTTCCCAGCGTGGTGGGAAGATCAAAACGGCCCCGCTTGCCAACCGTAATACCTTCGGATTCAACAGGGAGCAAAAGTTTTCGGAGGAACGAGTCCATGTCGACTTCCAGCCCAACCTTCTCCAGCACTTCTTGTCGCTTGCCGAGTTTATACTCACGTTCGTGCCAAGCAGAACCCGTGGTGATTCCGAGGTCCGCCTCAACCTGGGCTACCGCAGAGGAAACATCGTTTGCAATAGCATGTCCTACAGGAGGAACAGTGACGCCATCCTCCTTCATTTCCGCGTTGATACCAGTATTGTCATCGAACACGTTGCGAACTGCCACAGCTTTTCCTAGAGCAGGTCTGGGAATATCCACCACAGAAATGCTGACCGTGTCATCATCAGTCCACTGGCCGCCAGGACCAGAGCCACCACTGGTGCTGGGGTCGTTGTCGAGAATAGCTTGAAGCTCGCTGGAAATGGCCTCGTTGGCCTTTTCGATCACCCAGTCGACCAGTGCCTCGTAGATCCCCAAGATCAGCACCTCGCGATCATCAGTGGAGCAACTGTGCAGCAGAACTTCCGGATCCAACCCGAGCAGACCACCCACTTCATCACATGCTTCCTCAAGATCTTCCTGGTCAACCAGAAAGCCAGTGGCATTACCAAGCTTCAGCAGACCGGCAAGGGTGGACAGGAGACCACGCTGAGCCGCTCCCTTGATGCCGATCGATTTGAGTGCAGCTCTGAAGTCTTCCGCAGCAGCAGCGTCGTCGGCGGTGGGAAGGTACGCAGGTGGCGTATATGTACCTGACTTGCTGAGCAGAGCGTACGAGGAGGCATCTTTCAGGTTCAGAAACTCTCGCTCTGCTGGGGTCGAGATCGAAGCTAGAAGGTAATAGAACACGTCAAATGCTCGATAACCGGCTTCTGTAGGTATATCAAGAAGGCCTTTGCGCACATTGATGCCAGACGTGGACAGTGCCAGTGAGAGGCCTACAACATCACCTTTCAGGTTAATGGAGTAGCGAGCAGACAGAGCAGAGTACAGAGAGTAAGAAGGGTTGAAAGAGGTTACAGCGGACAGGAAGGGTCGGAGAGCTGTAAGAGCGGTAAATGCGATGTTCGGAGTGGTGAGAGGTAGCGCCGCCAGGAAAGGTTCAAATATAGATGGGGTTGATTGATGGGTTGAGCTGAACAGATTAGCCTTTAGTCCATGTGATTAAAAACTTGATGCTTACCATAGCACAATGCAACCATCTTCTGCTCGTCTTCGTGCATGTTCCCAAGCTCTGAGTGCCAAATCCCGATCTACCGTCCCTCCTTCTTGACCATTGGGATTTGTCCGGGTAGCGGTAGCCCATGTGTTCACCACCAAGCTCGTCCCTGCATCCAGTTGATAGGGTTGCCCCGAGTTGTAATGTGCATGCAGCGCATTCAGCAGCGTTGTTGTCGTCACAGTTGAGGAAGCACTTGGACGGGACGATGAAACGCCCGTGGAATGACTCGAATAGACCGAGAAACGAGTTGACATGGCTAATTTTGCTCGACCCAGAACTTGTATAACGATAGTGATAAGGCGCAGTGCCAATCCGGAGGTCGCTCTTATAGACCAGGTTGAACGAGTGAAAGGATATCGAGCGCTGGTCAAAGCATGGGGTGTCGCAAGCTTCACCGGGTGGCAGGCGATGGATGCATGTGAATAAACTCAAACGACAGAAGTGCTCTGAAGTTTCTATATTAAGAGCTGACTTCCCTGAAGTTGACTGTCAACGATCGAGATGGATTCGCAGGTATAGATCAGCGATCAGGCGATAGGTATCGTTTGGAGCGAACGTTAGAAGCGATGGGTCGTAGCGAATGTTGGCATACGAAAGGCTGCAAATTATTAAGATTATGCTCAAAACACAGAGGCAACGGACCAGCAGAAGCAGCGGAGAATGAAAAGGCAAAGAATCACAGCCAGTACTGACAGAAACACAAAACAATGAACATCAAAGAAGCAGCAGCGAGAGGGGAACTAAACCGACAGAAGACCGAGCAACAGAGCAGAAAGAGAAGAGAGAGAAAGAGAGCGAGAGCATGATGCGAGGCCGCTGACCCCAATTTGTTGTTTGTATGGTATCTCTGGGTTTAGTTTACCACCAACAGCTTAACTCTAGTGGGGATGGGCGGGTATGGCAGGATGAAAATTACCTCTGCAGTGAGTGGGTGGGCTGCTTGTTTCAATTGAGGTTCTGTCCCGTCGTCCGGGTTTCTCATTGGTAATCCTGGACCTCCCGAAGCCTTGCAATTGCAAAGAAAACCGAGCGAAAAGCACTATGGTTGCTGCTAGCCATCCGCTAGCTAACTCTAACTAAGGCGATAGGTCGTTTAGTAACCGAACTAGGAGCTTCCCGAAAGAGGATACCGTTTCGCCTCCCCCTCGCACACTTTTTGCGACTACTGAGTTTAGTCCAGTTCGGAGAAATGCGACGAGGGTTTCGAAAAAGCCAATTTGAAGAAAGTAGGAAAAGAAAAAAAAAATAGAAAGAATAAAAGGTGTTCTCCTGCAGCACGCATACATAGATACACAGATACATACATTACTGGTGCAGGTAAGCAGCAATAGAACCCTTGCACTGGAGTATTGAAAATTTCCCGGGCCAGCATCAGACTCCCTGAAAATGTCATGTGGCGTGCATCAGTACTTTACAGCCAACCAATGGAGGGGGCTAAAAGGGTCAGATCCATGGCCCTAGACCCTTAAGGACCCTATAAATGGCACACTTTGTCTCACCCGAGCTGGGGCTCGATACCTAATCGGGTAGGCCGTATCTCATCGTACGGTACTAGTGAGGTTTTGAGGGTTTCTCCCATCCAGCATTCAGCCAGTGCGACTGGATCTACCCGGCAGGACAACATTCAATGTCTCAGTCAAAGCCAATGGCTGCTTACCATCTTGCCACCACCAGCTTATCAACCTTGCCAACAACATCGTTGGGTCCGTTCTCTTTGTCTCTGCTATTTCTGGATATCCATCGACTGGGAAGCGGAGGGGCAAAGCTGTCATATGCTGTGATGAAAAAACCCAAGAGATCATGCATGATTTACGATGGCGCCGCCCAGTGCCGGCGGGTCGCCTTGAAGTTGTTGTTATTTTTGTTCCAAAGGAGTGCGCGCCCCCCTCTCCAAGAAACCTGGCCATTGTTTTTATTCTGCAGCATCCATAATCGTAATACCCGCCCGTGTGACACGGTAGTGGTCTACGAGATAGGTAAGGTGGTTGTCTGATGCTGGTAGTAGAGACCGACTAACCATGTTGAATAGGGAAGGAGTATCTCATTAGTGAGGACTAACTAGTTAGTTATTTATCTACTCACTTAGTAATAGATAAATGACTGGTCTGGTATGAAGGGAAACTTTAAGTTGGGTAACCTCAAGCCGTACTGTTACAGGTGACGTTTCGTTCTCTCAACAAAGACACAAAAGTCATTTTAACAAGGTCAGTCATTGTGATTCTGGGCTGCCTCCATCCAGCACGGCTTCTAGAGTAAGAAAAACACAAGTATCTGTGGGTGGATATGGATGGTAGAAAACTGGATCTTCCAGCGTGTTCTACGGAGTAAGTGCTTTACCGCCGACCAGCAACCACAAGGGAAATCCCACCCACCCCCTAGTTTCATCAACAGATCGAATGATCCAATCGGTCCACCCCGACCACTCACCTGCTTAGCCTGTTTCCTTTACTTTATGTTTTCCCGGGCCCCTCAGGGTCTTTCTTGGCTATCTCTCTTTCTTTTCCCCCCTGCTCTTGTGAGTGGTAGTGGTGGGTGATCATTCACGATCTCCCGACCGAGGATGTGAGTGAGGTTTTTCTGCTCTGGCCTACTCGCAGTTTAAATCCCAAATAGTCAAGTCTCCGCCATCGACACCCATGGCTCCATCCTCTATCTATCTATTTACACAGTTATTAGATATTAACCGCAGATCGCTAACCGGCCGACAACTGACTCGTAATATGTATCAACTCGAGACGCTGCAGGCCTGGGTGCATATATTGAGGCCTCATGCCCCCGGGTTCCTGTCGGTCACCAAAGCGTGAGTTGCTGTCAAAGGGAGAGGGCAGGAGACTTGACCCCTTTTCCTGCGTGTGGCGCTGAATGATTGACATAAGATTGAATCCGGTTGCCAGAATAGATTGGGGCGGCCGGGAAGCCTCGTCTCACATTCTCGCCAGTCCTGTTGTTTTTCGCATCAGTACGGAGTAATGAAGTAATAAAGTATTGAAGTAAGTTATTGCGTAGTATATCTGAGACCCCAGAATGAGGGAAAGAGTAATTCATGAAATCAGTGTGGTTTCGGCTCGAGGATTGACAAAATATCTCGAGGCGGGAACTGGTGAGACCGATGTCTCTTCTTTTTCTTTTTCTTTTCCCTCTTTTCTATTTTTCTTCTTTTCCTCCTCAACCATCCCACAGCCAGTGGGATCAATCTAAATATGGTCCCCTCATTGACTGGACTGGCTCGGGTCTTAACCTAACCGGTAACCAGACCATCAAGGGACGGTTCGACCGAACGGACTGAAAATCCCCACCGGCTGAGGATCCGCGGGTCCTCGGCTGTCAGCGCAGGATGCATCGTCCCAAAAATAATCCCCAATCTCAGGAGATACGGAAGGTGGGAAGTGGGAAAGAAACAAGCACCGCACTATCTGGGATGTGGATGATGACCTACATGATTCTGGCCGCTCGGGATGAACATTCTGGCCTGTGAAATTTTTCTTTCTTTTTCTTTCCACATGAATCAATTGATTTCTCCGTCACCGACCTACTTTGTAGTGGTCCCCTCCCCCAAACCGTGTAAAACCCCCTCGATACCATCCCGCTAGTAATTTGCAACTTCCCCTCCCCCCCCCCCCCCGCCGTCTGGTAACCAGTCCCATACGGACTTACCCAGTCGGGCAACATAGTGACTGTTAGTGCTGGCGCGCCGAGTCGCAGCTAGACCAACCACAGCCCAAAGTCTGTAAGTTTTTCCCTTTATCAACAGTAGTCCATATTATTGTTCCGCTGCTTAACCCCGGACAGCTTCCCAGCAGCAACTTGTGTTCTTCCTCTGTCGCACTTGTATTGTTGACTGCCTCTTTTTTTTTTCTTTTCCTTACCTTTCTCTTTTCCTTCTTCATTCGGTTCTTTTGGCCCTGTTATTCTAATCTAATCAAGGCTCTTCGTTGAGCATCCCTCGTTTATCCATCTCAAACCGCCTATATACGATCGTTTGGCCGGATCGCGCCACGCCTGCCTCTCGCTACCTCCGTCAGCAGGGCTGCTCCCATTTCACATTCACCACACTGGAGATTTGGATAGTCCCCGATCGCCCTCTGTCTTGTGATCGGCTAGCATTTACCTTTTATACGAGCAATGCACCTATCTTCCCTAGACTACTAGGAATTCCCCATCCAAGATAATCGAACATTCCTCGGCTGGAAATAGCCCACCTCGGCCAAGCATACCTGAAGAGTTCCATTACGGTCCAGACAAGATCTCGCTTTCTGTCGGCCACAGTCTTTACAGATTTTGTTGCAGGTGCCCTTGTGGTGATTGCGGCGAAAGCCTGACAACTTCCACAACCTCAACCTTGAGGTGGTAACCTCACCAGCAACATGACTGGACCTGCACCCTCCGGGCGTACACCGTCCCATGCCCAGTCGTCGTTACCATCCCTACCAGCGCATTTACAGTCGGATACTCACTTGACCGCGCACCTTGCAAGCCGGTATGGTTTCTCTAACATAGAGTATGAAGCTCATTTCACTGACAGCAGCTTCTAAGGTTTCATGTGGGCTTACCGACAGCCCGTCTTTCCTCCCAGGCATTGATCAGCTTGAACACATATACAACATCATCCCGCGGTCCCGATGGCGACAAGGAAGGAAGTGCTATGGGAGAGGCGGAAGACCTCGCCAAACGTGCATTTACTCGGCTAGGTGCCCGTGGAGAAAACCAGGCCATTGTTTTCCTGTGAGCATACATATCGATAACTGCTTATATGGAAAGCTGACAGTCATTCTAGTGGTGAAAGCGGCTCTGGAAAGACGACCATTCGCTCACACCTGTTATCATCATTTCTCTCGTTCTCCTCGACCCCACTCTCGTCGAAGCTGTCTTACGCTGCGTTCGTTTTTGATACCTTGACTACGACCAAGTCCGTGACTACGCCAACTGCGTCCAAAGCTGGACTGTTCCTGGAACTGCAATACGACGGGTCTTCCTCGGTCAATCCCACCTTGATCGGTGGTAAGATTATCGACCACAGGCTGGAGCGTAGTCGCATTGCCTCGGTGCCCACGGGAGAACGTAGTTTTCACGTGCTCTACTATCTCTTAGCCGGTACCAGTGCTGCAGAGAAGGAACACTTGGGCTTCGACAGTTCTATACATGTGTCGACGAGTGGTGGTAAGCTCTCAGGCGCCTCAATTGGTCACAAGAGGTGGAGATACCTCGGCCACCCCACTCAGCTTAAAGTCGGTATTAATGATGCCGATGGTTTCCAACACTTCAAGACCGCACTCAGGAAATTGGAGTTCCCTCGCAGTGAGATCGCCGAATTCTGTCAGATCCTTGCTACCATTCTTCACCTTGGTCAGCTGGACTTTGTTAGCGGTCAAGCCACTACCACTACAGCGGAGGAATCGGGCGGTTACTCTCATGAGGGTGGCGAAACGGTCACCGTCGTCAAGAATAAGGATGTCCTTTCTGTTATTGCTGCCTTTTTGGGATTGGGGGTGGAAGAGCTGGAGACCAGCTTCGGGTATCGGACGAAGACGATTCGTCGGGAACGCGTGACAGTGATGCTTGATCCGAAGGGCGCTCGGCAAAATGCTGATGGGCTCGCGCGCACCCTATATTCGCTACTGGTGGCTTATATCTTCGAGGGTATCAATCAGCGGATATGTGCAGCTGAAGACAGCGTGGCGAACACTGTCTCCATCCTCGACTTCCCTGGATTCTCTCAGGCCAGCGCAACTGGCTCTACGCTCGATCAGCTCCTGAGCAATGCGGCCACCGAGTCCTTGTACAATTTCTGCTTGCAGTCATTCTTCGAGCGAAAGGCTGAGATGCTGGATCGTGAAGAAGTTACTGTGCCTGCTACAAGCTACTTCGACAACAGCGGTGCTACTCGTGGCTTACTGAAACCCGGAAATGGCCTTCTAAGCATCCTCGACGATCAGACTAAGCGGGGCCGGACCGACTCTCAGTTCCTCGAGTCTGTCAAAAAGCGGTTCGAGAACAAAAACCCCGCCATTACAGTCGGCAGCACGGGACAAGGGACTACCCTGATCTCCCAAGGTGCTCGGTCCGCATTCACGGTGAAGCATTTCGCCGGAGAGGTCGATTACCCCGTGCATGGCCTTTTGGAGGAAAATGGCGATGTTGTGTCGGGAGATCTCATGAACCTGATGAGGTCGACAAGTAGTGACTTCGTGCGAGACCTATTTGGTCAAGAAGCTTTGCAGACCGTCACCCATCCTCAGGAGCGTACCGCGATTATGCAGGCACAGGTGAGCTCCAAGCCTATGAGAATGCCCAGCATGGCTCGCCGGAAGGCTGGACCATCTCGGTTAGCCTTCGATGCACCTGAAGCGGACGATCAAGATGAATACGAGAGTCAAGCCGGTAGCATGTCAAAAAGTTCCGGCCGCCGAAAGAGCATGATCCTGGCTAGCGGTATGCAAGGCGCTGCGGGCCAGTTCCTCTCTTCATTGGATATCGTTAGTAAATGCTTGAATTCTGCCAATTTGAACCCTTACTTTGTGTTCTGTCTGAAACCCAACGATCGCCGCATCGCGAACCAGTTCGATAGCAAGTGCGTGAGAGCACAGGTCCAGACCTTTGGCATCGCGGAGATCAGTCAGCGGCTCAGGAACGCCGATTTCAGCATCTTCCTCCCGTTTGCCGAGTTTCTAGGCCTGGCTGAGATTGGCAACGTCGTTGTGGGAAGCGACAGAGAGAAGTCCGAAGTCGTCTTGGATGAGAAGCGGTGGCCAGGGAACGAAGCTAGGGTAGGCAGCACGGGTGTCTTTCTCAGCGAGCGCTGCTGGGCCGATCTTGCCAAATTAGGCGAGCGTGTTGTCCCTGTATATCCTGCGGAAGGCTCTGATGAAGGCGGGGATAACCTCCTTCACGCGCGCGCTGGCGGCTACGCTGATTCAAAAGTCCGGCTCCTCGGCCCGTCTGATCAGTCCCCGGGTGGTTTCATCTACGGGGAGGATGGAAAACAGGGGTACTCCAGTAGTCGTGAGTTCGATGGGCGCTCAGATGCCGGCGCCTCTGCATTCAATTCGGGCGACATGTTCCGGAATTTGGATACGAGAGAACAAATGCTCGAAAAGGGCAACGAAAAGAAGATGGAGGAAGTGGATGAGGCGCCTGTCTCCGGAAGTCGCAAACGCTGGATGGCAATTGTCTACCTTCTCACCTTCTATATCCCAGACTTTATGATCAAAACGTTTGGCCGCATGCCCCGGAAAGATGTTAGAACCGCCTGGCGTGAGAAGCTTGCGATCAACTTAATCATCTGGTTCAGTTGTGCCTTTGCAATCTTCTTCATTGTCGCTTTCCCTGGTCTGATTTGTCCCACTCAGCATGTGTATTCCTCGGGTGAGCTGAGCACACACAACGGCAAGGATGGGCATAATTCATTCGTCGCGATTCGCGGTATAGTTTTCAATTTGGGCAAGTTCATGCCGTCTCACTACCCAGATATCGTCCCGGAGAAACAACTCAAGAAATATGCTGGTACCGATGCTACCGGTCTTTTCCCAGTTCAGGTCTCGGCTTTATGCCCAGGAAAAACGGGCTCTATTGACCCTACAGTGCTCCTGGACTACTCTTCCACTAACGTTTCCGGCTCTGCCACCACCGTCAGCACTAGTGATACCAATTGGGTATACCATGACTTCCGTTACTTCACCAATGAGTCTCGCCCCGATTGGTTTCAGGAGCAGATGATAATGCTGAAAGCGAACTACTTCAAAGGGTGGGTTGGCTACACCCCGCATTACCTGAAAACTTTGGGAGACGAGTCACAGTATATTGGAAGTATCAACGGGAGGGTATACGACCTGACGACATATGTGGCTGGAGGGCGAAGAGTGCAAGCGCCTGTAGGGGAATCGGTCCCTGCTAACGTCGATCGCAACTTCATGGATGACCTTGTCGTGGAACTTTTCCAACGACTGCCAGGTCAAGATTTGACAAAATACTGGGAGGACCTGGCAATATCCGACGTGATGCGCGAACGTATGCAGCTCTGCTTAGACAATCTTTTCTTTGTCGGCCATGTGGATACACGTAATTCGCCTCGTTGTCAGTTTGCCCGTTACTTCATCCTCGCCATATCAATCTTCATCTGTTTGATTGTCGTCTTCAAGTTCTTGGCGGCCTTGCAATTCTCGAGGAAGAATCTCCCAGAGAATCTCGACAAGTTCATTATTTGTCAAGTCCCAGCCTACACTGAAGACGAGGATTCCCTCCGCCGTGCTATCGACTCCATGGCTCGCATGCGCTATGATGACAAACGCAAACTTCTCGTGGTTATTTGTGATGGTATGATTATCGGACAAGGAAACGATCGTCCTACCCCTCGAATCGTCCTAGACATCCTAGGCGTACCCGAATCCGTCGACCCCGAGCCGCTAAGCTTCGAAAGTTTGGGCGAAGGTATGAAACAGCACAATATGGGTAAGATTTACTCGGGTCTCTATGAGGTCATGGGCCACATCGTTCCTTTCCTGGTTGTTGTCAAGGTCGGTAAACCCTCCGAGGTCGCTCGGCCAGGTAACAGAGGAAAGCGTGATTCCCAGATGGTGCTCATGCGGTTCCTCAACCGCGTCCATTACAACCTTCCCATGAGTCCTATGGAGCTGGAGATATATCACCAGATACGCAACATCATCGGTGTCAATCCCACGTTCTATGAATTTATTCTACAGGTAGATGCCGACACGGTGGTGGCTCCTGATGCTGCAACACGAATGGTGTCAACTCTGCTGGCCGATACCCGCATTTTGGGTATCTGTGGAGAAACTGCTCTTTCGAACGCCAAAACGTCAATGGTGACAATGATTCAAGTCTACGAATACTACATCTCCCACAACCTTGTCAAAGCCTTTGAGAGTCTTTTCGGATCCATTACTTGTTTGCCGGGTTGCTTCACCATGTATCGCATCCGCTCAGCCGAAAGCGGGAAGCCTCTGTTCGTGAGCAAAGAGATAGTTGAAGCCTATGCGGAAATCCGTGTCGACACTCTCCACATGAAGAATTTGCTGCACTTGGGTGAAGATCGTTATCTGACAACACTGCTCATCAAGCACCATCCCAAGTACAAGACGAAGTATATCTCGGCCGCTAAAGCTTTCACAATCGCCCCTGAGAGCTTCGCTGTGTTCTTGTCGCAACGTCGTCGGTGGATTAATTCTACGGTCCACAATCTAATTGAGCTGATACCACTGAATCAGCTTTGCGGTTTCTGTTGCTTCAGTATGCGCTTCATTGTGTTTGTGGATCTCATCAGTACACTCATACAGCCTGTCACCGTTGCTTACATCGCTTATCTGATCTACTGGCTCATTCATGACACATCCACGATTCCATGGACATCATTCGTGCTTCTGGCTGCCATCTACGGTCTGCAGGCACTCATTTTCATCTTCCGGCGTAAATGGGACATGATTGGATGGATGTTCATTTACATCCTTGGTATCCCTATTTCGTCGCTGGCTCTGCCCCTGTACTCATTCTGGCATATGGACGATTTCTCCTGGGGTAATACACGTGTCATTACTGGAGAGAAGGGCCGCAAGGTCGTTATCTCCGATGAAGGAAAGTTTGACCCGTCGTCTATCCCTAAAAAGACGTGGGAGGAATATCAGGCCGAACTGTGGGAAGCTCAGACTTCGCGAGACGATCGTTCAGAGGTTTCTGGGTTCTCTTACGGCACCAAGTCCTACCACCCAATGCAATCTGAGTACGGATTCCCGGCTTCGAGACCAGTGTCTCAGTTCAACCTTCCTCGTTACTCGTCTCGCATGTCTTTGGCACCTTCAGAGATGATGAGCCGGAACATGGAGATGGAGATGGAAGACTTGTCTCACTTGCCAGCCGACGATGTCCTTTTGTCGGAGATCCGCGAGATCCTGCGCACCGCAGACTTGATGACGGTGACCAAGAAGAGCATCAAGCTGGAACTTGAGAGACGATTCGGCGTCAACCTTGACGCTAAACGTCCCTACATCAACTCAGGTAAGGCTGCACAAAAACATCTACTAACCAGAATTTCACTGACATCATTTCCTCTACAGCCACCGAAGCCATTCTTGCCGGCAATCTGTAAACCGATCGTTTCTCGATTACGAAATTGGCATCTACCCGGATGCGCAATAGTCGATTAATCAGCTAGTCCTCCACTCTAGCTGACATGATCAAGAAAAACCTCCATCTGTCCATGACATTGACGACGATTGCATCAACATCATCATTATATCGTTATCGTTATTTATTTTTTCTGCAAACAATCTCCCTCCAAAACGCATGCTTAATCAATGAACGTCGTTATCGTTCCTGTTACATTCTGTTTCATTAGCTGTACAAAACAGCTCTGGCGTGGCGCTGTACATTATCTTTATATTCTTGTTTTCTTTTTCTTCTGTTTCTAATGTGTGTTTTTTGCCTGCATATGTCTGTTTCTCATTATGAGGCATATTGAGCGGTTGGTTTGTTTCTTGCAAGGTAGACCATGTCGATTAGATAGTCATCGCTTTTTTTCTCCACAGCCAAGTACATATACAAAGAATCAATGTATAATGCACACTATAAGCTGATCTCCCCCATATCATGGTCACCTTTATCAATCTTCATCAATCGCATCTGAATTCATGCTAAGGTTCAGATCAGCTCAGAACCAAGTAATCCATGATTATACTGCAATAAGAACTTAGCTTAACGAATATCATCCCAAACTACTAAATATATTCTATAATGCTAGCTAATATGTCCACAACAAGTAAAATAAGCACAAATAGTACTCTATGCCTGGTAGTAGTTAAACATATACAGAACAACAAAGGTATCGCTATATCGCACCCGCTCCATCTCTCAATCCAAAAGCAGCGCGCATCCAGCCAATCAATAGTACTAGTTACATTTACTTCAATAGTATATCTGCATAGATACAAATTCTAATCAAACGACGCCAGCGCCGCTTCCCCATCGCCATCAACATCAACACCCCCCTCTCCTCCCAAATTCTCATCACTAATAGCAACCCCAATAGCCGAAGGAGAAACAGCACCAGCACCAGCCGCGGCTTTCCTCCCTTCATGCTCCATGCCCAGGATCTGCCACGCGCGACCCATCATCCCATGACCTAGTCCCTGAGGGAAATTCGCCCCGTAAGCCGAGTTCCGTGGCATATGGCCACGCGCACGATCACGATCCTGCTCGCGAGCCAGTCGGTCTTTCTTGGCGGCCGCGACGCGGTCTTGTTCGCGCTCGTGGGAGATGATTTCGTCGCGCCATTCGGCCCAGCGGGAGAAGTTTTCGCGCTGGCGGAGGACTTGGTAGCGGAGTTTGGTTTTGGAGGGGCGCCAGCCGGTTCGGGTATTGGTGGAGTTGGAGGTGGTGGTGAGGGTGGATTTGAGGTCGCAGACGTTGGAGTCTTTGGTGAGTTTGAGGAGGTGGGTGAAGACTTCTCTGCTTTCGTGGGCGGTTTGGTGGAGTTTTTCGGTGGTGGTGGTGGTGGTTGTGGTTGTAGTTGGGGCAGAGGTGAGAGGGACGTCGAGCCAGGAGTAGAGGTCTGCTGAGCGTTGGACGGAGAAGGGGTCGAGCATGTTGGCGCGTCGGTTTTCTTCGCGGAGGTAGCGGACGGCGGCTTGGAGGCTTTCGACTTCGGCGCGGAGGGCTTCGTTCTCGCGCATGGTGGCCAGGGAGACGCCGGCGTCGACGGCGATGCCTTCGGTTGTGGTGGCACCGGTGGTGCCGGAGATGCGTTTGACTTTGTCGAGGCGGGATTTGATCTCGTCGCGCTCGGCTTCGAGGGCTTCGAGGTCTTTGCGTTGCTTTTCGACGGTGGAGGAGAGTTCCGTTTCTCGGGTGCGGATCTTCTCCAGCTCGGCTTCTAGGTCTTTCACCATTGATGCCTTTTTGCTGGCTTCGCGCATCCGGGACTCGACGAGCTCGACCTTGATGGCTTGCTCTTCGATGGCTTGGTCTTTGACGCCGAGGGCGGTGGAAGCTTCGTGGATCTCGTTCTTCAGGCGACGGATCTCTTCGTCGGCGTCGGGGGAGATGGTTTTGTTGGACTTGAGCTCTGCGGATCGGACGGTCCATGGAGAGGGTCGCTTCTCGAATTCGGTCGTGATGGATAGATCGGACGTGATGGAGTCGAGCTCCTCGAGGAGGCCGCCGAGGCTGCGGAGTCGGTTGCCGATGAGGAACATCGTGTCGCTGCTTTCGCTTCCTGTTTCGGAGGGCTGGGCGTAGAGGGTGGAGATCTGAGACATGGTGTTCAATGCTTCTTCCAGGGATAGAGGCTGCGTGCGGCTTTCGTCGATGATAAGGAAGACGATGTTCTCTCCAATCTGGCGAGTCAGATCTGACAAGTCTTTGGCAGCCTCTTCAGCTTGCTTGAAAGGGCCGACAACGTCCTGCGAGAGAGCAAGAGACCTCGAGCGAAGATCTTCCAGGGAGCGGTTGATCTTTCCCATGGCAACCTTTAGACCTCGAGCTTGAGACACAAGGCCTTCCATCTTGTTGTACAGGAAGGTGTGCTCTTCGTCGCCGCCTTCTGGCACCACAAGCTTCGATTGGAACAGCGACTTGAGATGCGAGATTGCTGAGGCTGTGTGGTCGGTGTAGGCCTGGGCCAACATGGAGCGCATGCACAGCTCGTCGGCGAACGTTTCCAAGGAGCTGGGAAGGAGAGTCTCGGTGAGATGTGATAAGAGTGCAATAGACCGCTGCAGCTCAACGGCACACTTCTTCATGTTCACGTCGTTCTTCTTCAGAGCTTCTAACCAGAAGTTTAAGGTGCGCTCAACCGGCTCCATCTCGAACAAGGCTCCTTTGATACTCTCAAACCCTTCGGAAGAACAGTTCGTGATGTAGTTCACAAACCGATCGCAGAGAGAAGCAATATACAAGAGCTTCTCCATGACCTCGTGAGCAATGAAAAGGTCTTCGAGGGGAGTAGATACAGACGCCTGTTCAGAAACCTTCTCACGGAAAGTGCTGGTCATCAAGGTCGCCTTGAAGCTCACGCGCTTGAAGCGCAGAAGCGCGAGAACGGCATTCCGCTCACTCTCGTAGTATTCGGGAAGATACAGCTTGGTAATGGACAAATGCTGCGCCGCTTCCTCTGCTTCCATACGGTTGAGTTCAATGTCGATTGTTTTCGTCTGCGCCTTTGAAACCGAGGCCTGAAGCTTAAGATTGAGGTCCATCATGGCCCGGGAGCGCGTGGAGAGGTCAGTAGCCTCTGCTTCGGAGATCTGTTGGGATGCACGCATATCTTCCAGGTCTCCCTGTAGAGTAGAGACCAGCTCTCGGAAGCGGACAAGAGTGTATTCTAGATCCTCGATGACTTCGTCTTGCTGGGCGAGCCGGCGACTTTGTTCAGTGAAGAGACCATCCTTGTAGTCAATCTCCTCCTGCAGCTGTTTCTCCGTCTCGATGTGGTTGTATTCGAGTTCGTCGTTGATTTCTTTCAGAGCCTCCAGATCCTCAATAGCTGCTTTCAATTCGTTGATATCCTCCTGATAACGCATGTTCTTGTCGGCAAGTTCCTCGATCATTTCTTCAGCTCCCAGGGCCGTCTCCAATTGCTGTTTCAGATGTTCCACATTGTTTTCCGCTACGAGCAGCTTCTGTTTTGTCTTCTCGTATTTAGACTTGATGGCGGTATATTCCTCCAAATCCTGCTGGAGCTCCTTGACTTGATCCCTGAGTTCCGCTTCCTGCTGCTGGGTCATATCACGGAGGCGTAAAAGAGCCTCTCGAAGACGCTCATTCGTCTTCTCCATCTGCAACCATCCATGGCTGGACTTTTCTTCCGGGCTCATGACCTGGCCAAGTTCCTCATTTTCTTCGCGCAGAACCTCCGCTTCCAGTTCGAGCTCTTCAACCCTCAACCTGAGAGTCTCCACTTCGTGCTTGAAAGCATCCGCGGTCTCTTCCGCCATTTCGCGATCCAGGGTGGCCATCTCCATAAGTGAATCATGTTCCGCCTGGAGTCGCTCGACTTCCTCGAGCCTCGCTTCCGAATCTTTCAGCTTCCTCCGCAGCTCATTAATCTCAAGCTGCTGCGGCTGATACTTCGCTTGCAGCTTCTGTATGATGCCTTCGAACTTGTCTCGTTCTGACTGAAGTTGTTCCAGTGTCTTCAGCTTCTCGCGATCGTCGGCCCGCTTCTTTTCCATGACCCGGAGCTTGGTTTTCAGCTCATCCAGCTCCCTTGCTACAGCATTTCCACTCAGCGACTGTCTATGTGACGGAGTCGGTTGGGGTCTTTGGCTCGTAGCTGTCCGCAAAGAACTTGGTGTAGGCTTCGGGGCCTTGGACTCCAGATCCGCGTCATCTGCACCTTCCTCTTCGACATCATGAGAACTTGTCTCCAACTCCTCAGACTGCGGGCTTGCTACACTTTCTGCTTCTTCCGATGCTTTGTTTGAGCCCGTGGGCCGGAGCACAGGTCGCTTTGTCAATCCTGACGGTGCCGACGCTGTACCCTGGACACTGGGTCTGCCTGTCCTGCTTGCTGGAGCAGATATCGAAGGTCGTGATGGGCGAGTTGTCGCCGAAGGAGGAGCGGGCGGGCCCATAGACGTCTTAGAGCTGATGGATGTCCGAGTCTTGGGTGCCACTGCAGACGGCCGCGGTGTGCTGCTTGCAGACGATCTGTTCGAGAGGGGGGTGGAGGCGGGTTTCGTCGGTGACTTTGTAGGAGACTATCGTGCGACCAGCATTAGCTTCTTAATATTACTATTGGCGTGCTAGAGGGACGGTTACAATACCTTTGTTGACAAGCGTTGAGCGGCTCCTCTCAGGGCCGAGGTCGGACTTGAAGCCCCGGCGCCATGTCTCTTTGCCGTCGCAGATGACAGGGAAGTCGGTCTCTTGAGTCCGGAGTTCCCTGGAGTGACACCACTTTGAGCGCGACTTCGGCTGGCCGGGGTGGTGGTGGCATTCCCCTTAGGAGCGGCCGGCTTAGTCGGTCGAGCGGGCTGTTCAACAATTGCAGCGATGGCAGTGGGCCGAACGAACATGCCAAATCCCGGTTCGCAGTCGAAGTATCGTTCTCCTTGAACTGAGCCATCGTTCTTGCCCGTGGGCTCGTCCAATTCCACGCCGATCCAGTCTCCCGCAGCGAATTGTGTCGAGCCAACAAACCGAACGGTGGCCTGCCGACCGTCGGTCAAAGTGACCACATGGCCCGGAGATAGGTCAGCCATATTGAAGCATTCAGGCCGATAGAAAGCCCCGGTGCAGGATGGTCCTGTCGTGGAAGAGGGAGGGGAATGGGATGTTGTTGTCTTGTTGATGGTGTCTGTTCGGGGAAGCTTCCCCCGTTCGGAGCCTCAGGACGCGACTCGTGCACGGTCGTTTATGCCTGAGGCAGAAAGGCATATAGTAGCCCTACATCTATCTTCACCTTGACTGATCTGCTTTTTATGACTACAGTTGACTCAATATTTATGAATTTGCAGTTGTGCGCTGTTGAAGTGGTCATATTCTCGTGAGCATCAATTATAAATATGTGCATTCATGAGTTAGGAGTATGTGCCTGTCCCCAAGATGAGAACCCGTCAAAGTCAGAATGATAACATCGCTCATAGTCTTCGTGCACATCTATAAAATCTATCTATCGCATAAAGTGATTGAATCTATACTTTCTGCTTGGACTTAAACAAGTCGGGGAAGCAGGTCCTAAGTTCCTCCAGGCTGCGAATCATATATTGCGAGGCCGGCACGTGGGGGAGGGGAATCCCAGGCTCAACGAGATGAGCCACGGCCCAACCCCGGGCGGCAGCATGAGTACAATTCAGACCGGAGTCGTCTGAGCATAGTGGTCAGCACTTAACCGGGGCTTGTACAGTGAGGTAGGATATTTGAGGGACAACTCACCAACAAAGTAGCACTCTGACGTGCTGGAAGCTCCGGCCTCCTTTTCCGCCCTCTCATACATGGCCTGGCTGGGTTTGCACACCAGCGGCAAATTGCCATAGTCACAGTATGTGATGCCCTCGAACATATCGTCCACCTGCAGCAACTTCACCACCCGTTTCGCATGGGTCACGTAGGCGTTCGTGAGAAGCCACATTCGCACTTTGCTGCGGTCAATGTCTTCGAGCAGCTGGCGCAGCTTGGGGTCCGGTTTGAGGATATCGTCGAGCGGCAGCGCATCATCCACTTCGCGGTTGAATTCCAGGGGGTCGATCTTGTGATGGCGCGTAAGACCTTCAATGGCGAGACCGTATTCCTTGTAGTACTTCATGTGGAGCATGTGTGCGTCATCGGCATTCAGGGACAGGTGCTTGATAAAGAATTGGTCTAGAAAGAGAAGATGATTTGGTCAGCGCACATACATAAGATAGATTGCGGTCGCGGTGGCTCACTGATCAATTTCTGCATCTCATCGTGGATGTTGCACCCTTCACGGAGTAGATGTGTCAGTATGTCCTGCGATCAATACCTCGGTTCGCGATATTCCCACCTTTGGAGTACAGCTGCGAACACACTTAGGTCAGTGACGAAGGGTAGACTGGGAGATGAAAAATGCGTCAACATACGCAGTTGTCAATGTCAAAGAAGAAGACCGGACGAGGGTCCAGCGGCGCACTGGCCGGACTGTTGGTGGTGGCCATTGTTCGTCGGGGGTATGAAGGTATACTGTTGCGATGCGGAGAAAAGGAACTCGGGCGATGGCAGGAGAGATTGCAGCGGAGGAATGGAGAGGAGGGTTGGACGTGGTATGTTCTGGGAGCGAAAGGAATTCGCAAGAGAGAGCGCAGGGTTGAATGATTCATCGCAGACACATTAAAGCCACCAGCGAAAGAAAAGCGAGAGAGGGGAGAGGGGGGGGGGGGCGCAATACGGCGCAACAGGAACCGCGAAACCGAGTGACTCCCTCCGGCGATGGCGGGAGCAGCCGTCGCCGGCATTTCCACTTACACTACTACGTACTAACTCTTTCCTTTTTGTCTCCCCGACCAGCTTCTTTTACATTAGTACTAGGCTCGGGGTCATCATTTCTTGCGTTTGCTTCACCGAACTCGCTGTCAGTCGGCTGACTTGGGTAGACGGCCAATATCTACCAAGGAGATTTGATTACTTCTCATTCGGGGATCAAACAGACTTGTACATCCAATCAAGCCATGTGTGAATGCGCTGGGAAGTGACTAAGAAGAAACTAGCGGTGCGCGCGGTGCCTTTGCAAGCTGGCCGCCTCGACGAAGCTGGCCTCGCCTTTTCTTCTCTGCAAACCGCCCCCGTCCACGTACTTCCCGCACCTCATCTATCATCCTTCCACCGCCATCACCGTCCTTCCCTCCCCATTTCCCTTTCCCTTCCCTTCCCTTCCCCCCTCCCCCAAATTCCCTCCCTCGCTCACCTTCCCTCATGCTCAATATTATCCACTCCTCACTCTTGGCCACCCATTCTAGTCTCCCTCAGCCAAGTCAAGTGAGGCAGTGAATTGGATTTTAAGTGCTACAGCCGAAAGAAAAAGCTGATGCAAGAACCTGATTCGGTCTACTGGTGTCTGGTGTGACAAAAACAGCTCTTCTCGGAGCAACTTAAGTTTTTCTGTCGGTCCTCCGGGTATTATTTCTTATTTTAGACCATGGCAACAGCCCAGATTTCGCCGGCCTCAGGTAGTAATATACCTACCAGGCTGCCTGCAAGTGAGGAGATGCAGGAGTATGAAAAGATTTTGAAAATAAGTGACGATATCTTTTCTGGAACTCACCCTAGATTGAAGGTTCCCCAGCAGTTCGTGCGCAAGCCCGCCTCTCGAGGCCCCCTGTCTCGACTCCCACCCAGGTAAAATCGGGTGACCAACTCAAGTCTCCCCCGAAACCCCAGCTTCCTCCGTCCGCTCCGTTGACTCAGAGGCCGGCGACATCGCAGGCTCCCAGTGCCGGAAGTGCTCCTTCCGGCGCGACCGGGCCGTCGCGTTTAGTCCCTAAGCCTGCCTCGGAGATTGATCCCATATTTCTGACCAAGTCAGATGATCTAGTCAGAGCTGAGATACAACTACAGCGGCAGCGGGTGGAGAGAGTGCTGCGGGAACAGTTGGAACAAAAAAGGCAGGATTCGAGGCAGAAGGCCTCTCTACAAGACACAAAACCAGACTTTGACGTTTCTGATGTGCTAGTGAAGGCCTTTGAGATGGTCAAACCGTCTCCGTCCGTGGATGCACCTGGTGCTGGAGAGCCCGGTGACTCTTTTGACGATAACTCGTTCTACTCCAGTAGAGCCCCTGACTCTCCCCAGCAGGGCGAGCCGCAGAGGCAGTCTCCAGCTCCCCAGTCTAATTCGGAGGAGCTGGCTACTGAAGCTCCAGCAGAGAACTTTTCAGATGAGTTGCAACGGCTTGAAGCCCTCAACAGAACTGGATCGGATCAGGATGTGCAAGATACTTACCCCGTGGCAGACCACCTAGTACCCTATGATCAGAGGCAGCCGCACCATGCTGAGGTGGACGTCGCCGTCCGCAAATATCCCGAACCCGACCAGCCGACCGACGCGTATGAAGAACCAGAGTATTCACCACCGGCCCCCGGGGTAGCGCCTATGGAGAGGGACGATAATTATGGGTCTCAACGGGGTTATGCGAACGGGACAAAACGACGAGCACCGGAAGATCGAGTGCCCGAGCGGCATCGTCGGTCTCGGAGATCACTCTCGCGGGGAGGCGATGTAAGAATTGTGCGAAACCACATAACCTCGCCTGCTGCTCCGCAGCCGTCCAGAGTCTCCCCCTTAGCCATCGCCAAGGTGCCCTCGGTCCATCAACTAAAAGACTCGCGTCCGGATTACGGTCCAGAGCGCCATGCTAGCCCTGAGGTTCCTGCTCAGCCATTGACGTCTAGGAAACGTAGGAGGTTGCAGGATGACAGAGGTCGTCCATCGTATACTAGAGCGCCAGCAGCGGCCCATGTTGAAGAAGCATTCATCAAGGAAGAGCCCGTCTCACCTCCGCCATTCACAGACACTCACCACGCTTACCGGACCCGCCAGCCACAAGAAAGACCAGTGTACATTGACATTGCTTCCCCGCGCTATACTCCAGTATTAGAACGGAGAGAACCACAGATTAGGGAACCGGCATATGAGTACGAGGTGTACGAGCCCCATGCTGAGCCGGGTATTCAGCGCACCCTTTCGAGACTGAGTGCTCGCCGGCCAGTCCGGGACGATCAAGACTTGCGCAGAGTTGCCAGCTTGCATCAGGCTCGGCAACCCGAGTATGCTCGTGAATATGTTGACCAAGCCAGTCCCCAACCTGTGCGGGCTGGGTCCTATGCAATTGTTGAGCGTCCACCACCTGAGAGAATTCGATACTATGATGAGCTGGCGCAGCCACCTCCTACGAGACGCTATATTCCGGCTGGCGAATCGCCCAACTCACCACGATATCATGATGCTTACTATGAAGAGGAACCTGCAGCACGGGTCATGGCACCTCCACCGCGTCGGATAGTGGTTGACGAGCATGGCAATCAGTACTATGAGACGTTGCCTGCTCCAAGACTGCAGGCTATGCCTCCGCCCTCTACTCGACTACCCAGAAGTGACGTCTACGACGACCGTACACCTTTGCGCCCGGCAAGCGTGCGAGCGGCGTCTGTTCTCGAGGATCCGTATGGCGGTCGGCGATACGTGCAGGACATGCCACCTCCACCGACTACCTACCGACGAGTCACCGACTACGCTCGTCCGGCTCCAAGCGAACGGCGACCGTACACCGGGGCTTTGGATGAACGAGAGCCGTTCCCCCGTAGTGCCAGCGTGCAAGTGACGGAATACGGGACTCGCCGTCCCCCTTACCTGGACGAAGCCGAGCTTCCCCGGGAGCGGATCGTCCGGATGCCGAGCGTGCGCCCGCCCACTAGTCGATACGAGGAGCCGCCGATGATCCAGCGTGTGGAGAGCGTGCGCCCGAGCGGTCGAGACGTGAGCGTCTACATGGATGACGCTGCTGCTCGGCAGCCGAGAGAATACATTGAGCGGCCTGTATACGTTGCTACGCGCCCTGTGCGGGACGAGCGCTACTACGATGGCAGTAATCCAGCGGAGCGGGTCATCCTCGACGGGGGGAGGGACGTAGTCCACCGAGTACCTCAACGCTACTGAGGAACGACGTATCATACTATAATGACCACGTGGACATGGAGATGATGGCCCACAATGATTGATTGATTGATTGTATTTGGTGCATTCGCCTCGGACATATCAATTGCCTTTGATTGATTTGAATTCTGTTGTATCTAAAAAGCGTTTTGTATTTGGATGTGTCGAGCATCCTGTACCATAGTATAGCAGCACATCACTATGAGAGGTGAGAGAGAGGGGGCGAAATAAGAATGGCATGAATAGCCGCATGATCTCTTGTATCAGAAATACCACTACAAATCGTCTAGAAATCGGGTGTCAAGTGACATGATTGATTCCACAACACAATGGCTTCATCAATCGCAAGCCGGCTGCCAACATGATCGAGACATAGTTTAGAGTAAACAGGAATCACCAACCTACCGTAGCCATGGCATATTCTCGAGGTTTGACACCCGATAATAGAACAGACAAGGGGTAGGTTAGGAGTATATTAAACCCCCTGACTCCTTGGGTGAAGATAAAAGAGGGAAAGAGCATAGAACAAGGAATTTGATATATTGATATTTTCATTCAGCCAATATCAATTTCTGTATCGATGGATTTTTATTTGATAAAGGCTGGAAAGAAAATATGATATGGTATGGCTGCCGTGTGTGGACAGTTAGTACCAGTTGACTTGGTTAGTTAGTAGCCAAAAAAGGGGAGAGAATAAATCTCATGTAGTGGATTCCTCAGCGGCATTTATATCCTGGGTTCGTTTGGTGACTGACCTACTACTATTCAGGAAAATTCTGCAGGCAGCAAGACTAGATTAGATTGAATGGAAACTAAAGGTAGGCATGTGTTAATTAAGAGGTCACTAAAGTAGGTGCCAGTTTTAAAGTAGTTTAATTTGATTAAGAGTTAAGGGGATCGATCGGTAGTAGTCTATACTATGAAAGGTTAAGTGCCAGTCTTCATACTCTATCAGCTTTTCGTAGATTAGAGTATCATGCAGTAGTAACAGCACGGAGGTTTATATAGTAAATTTGGTACTTTTGGCGCTTGTTTTTGTTTTGTTTAGTCAGTTTGATTTTAGAACGGTCCCTGCTGCTGCTGATTATCCTGGTGATGGCCATGACATTGGCACATGTAATCTAGTATGTAATGTTACCTACCAGCTACTACAGAGTAACCCATCGAGCATGCAAATATGACAGAAACGAACAACACACCATTTAGTACCTGTTCTCAGAGCATACATACATACCCAAAGGTACATGCTGTGTCGATATGTAAGTAAGTTACAAAGTACTAAATAAGTAACCCAGTAACTTCTTACCATGAAATGATGGTAATATCCAGATCCACATCCACGTCGCTGATAGATGACGTCGAGAGATATCTCTCGGGAGATAGAATTGAATATATAGTAGTTGCTTGACAATGATTTGATAAAGATTCATGTCATTAATGGCTCTGAAGTGGTCACTGGCAAATTCAATCGATTCTATGTCATTAAACTACGCTTGTCATACTCAAGAAATTAGCCCTCATTCGACTCATAATCCTTCCGTAGGTATCATGTCACATATACCACAACGAGTAAATCTGTCATCAGAACGAGGTAATCGAACCTTCCATCATTGACTACTAGTCTATCTCAGCCAAAGACTTTTTCCACTTCAATATTACATACTATTCACGGCGACAATCCTCTTCTACTCAGACGACTCCAAACCACACGATGGGTTCCTCGCAGGGAGAAAGTGATATCGATTATTCACAGGAAGAGGGTGATATTGATTATTCACAGGATGAGAGTGACATTAATACTATACAAGAAGAAAATGTCAGCGATCAGCAGAGTCGGGCTGTAAAAGACCTGCTGAAAGACTCACCTTTGGCCCCCGGCTGCTTCTTTTTGGGGCTTAAGATATGGCACCTCGGAAGAAAGATCAAGAAGCTAACAATGCCCGTATATTTCGGTTGGTACTTATTCTTCCCTAGAGCTATTCAATGACTAGGGCTCTGACAAGGTCTTAGAGAGCCAGTTGAGTGACTATGCACTCTCTTCTACAACTTCTACATCAATACGGTCCAGAGTGGATGCCATCCTGCTGCATACTCTGTCAGTGGCTAAGAAATGGGCCCAAAGTGGCCAGAGCAAGCATTTCCCGACTGATCGAACAGAGATCCCTTGCATGCTAGAATCAGTCAAATGGAGCTACCAAGATGATATCTACATGGAGTACGCCTTTGAAGGTGAAACCTATAGCTATAGGCTCCCAGTGGACTATATGCTCTGGTACGGCAATAGGGAAAATTGGCAAGCAAACCTGATTGTTATCAGGGCAAAGCACCAGATAATCGATCTGGAAGGAAGACATAGCAAGCTGGCTCTGAGTAAGTACCCATCTTTGGAAGGATATTGATCGTAGAGAGGACACGCAAGAAGAAGAATATGGAACTACCTGTGATGTTCCCCTCTGCTTCTTCTCGCGAGGCAGACAGTTTGACTATCTAGAGAAATAAAGAGCGCTAACCTGTTTGAATCGTAACAGTGATGCTTCGCCTCGTGAGAATGAAGTTAGGGCTGAAGACGGAGTACTACTGCATCTACACAGATGGTTATAGATGGATCTTTTGGCACCTTGACGAAAGATGTCGGGTGCGAGCCCTAATCCAATATATGTTTGAAGCGAGCTAACCAGCTAAATCTATTAGCACGTGCACCTAGACCTAGATTGGCGTCAAACTCAAAAGAAAATTGTCGGTCAGCTTCTGAAGATATTGATGAAAGCTTGCGTTCTAAGAGTATCAGACAGAACGCTTGAACGTTCTACGATTCCTCAACAATCAACGTAAGTCTACTTGCTTGCTATTATTCAGTTCCTATTGTACTACTTCTGATAGCCCACAGTGGTCAATGCCTATTGTTGTAAATGAATGTACTGAATGGTGACTCCATTTCAGTCTTTCATTCTCCAATTCTATTGTCCGTTGTTGTGTTACCTATACAGTGTCTATCTGAGTTCTGCTTCACAGTTGCTATTCTTCCTTTTTGCTGGTTGTGTTGCTTTTCTAACAACATGTAATTCAATCATATTGACTCTATTGAGCCCTATTGTACGGCTTTTGTTACAGTTCTCTGCTATGTTGGCTCCACTTTGATGCCCTGACTGTTGATTGACCTTGTCTTCCAGCTATATAAATCCCTTCCATTTCCCACTCGTCCTGTCCTATCAATGCATCACTCCTGACTGCCTTGTCGTTCGTCGTTACATTGACTCCCTTTCCTGTTCTGTTAACGTTGACAACATGTCCCCGCTCGACTTGCTCGAGGAAAAGGCGTTTGCCCTGGCTGGCAAGCTTCGTGATAGGCGCTTGAAGAGAGATGCCTACAACATTGTCGAGGATCTCAAGCGGTTGAATACCGCAGAAAAGAATAGGTTGATGGAGAAGCAGATGGAAGAGGATAAGAAGCGGAAGGAGGAGAAGAAGAAGCAGCAGGAGGAGGAGAAAAAGAAGAAAGAAGAAGAGGAGAAGAAGAAGAAGGAAGAGGAGAGGAAGAAGAAGTTGCCGACTAAGGCCATCACAGACATCCCGGGATACAAGGTGGCGCCGATGTTTGGTTTGAAGCGCATGGAGGGCTTACGGGACCCTTTCTGGGTACTCTCGCCCCACGAGAGGAAGCCCATCCCCGAGTATCTGAGTGAGTCTCAATCTAAAATTATCTAATACTGACAATAGCTAACAAATAATGAATTACAAGAACAAATTCTGTCCGATTACAATCTCGCCGTCGGCAGATCCTTTGGAAACGAAGCTTTAATCCGGACGCGGCTGGATGCCATCTTCCTCACGACACTCGCCGCTAAGAAGCGGCTGGAGTTTAATCAGCCTAGCCACAGAAGCTCGACATCGTCCCAGGGATCGTACAAGTCTGTGCATATCCAATTTGAGAAGACTTTCAAACTCGAATGGGTATACGACAAGGCCGAATGCCTTCTACAGGGCCGCACGGATTACTCTTTCTGGCACAAAGATGCCAACTTGGCCGAAACCAATACTATTATCGTTGAAGCCAAGGCAGTCGGCAAAATGGACTGGCACCAGGCTCTGGCTTACATGAGTGAGTTTCTAGTGCAACCGCAATGGTCATGATATTAATCATGTTGATATAGGCATGATTCATCATGCTCGGCGCCGTGCCGGGAGGCCAGACGTTACGGTATACGGCATCGCAACCGATAGCTTTGATTGGACCTTCATCAAGATCGATCAAAATTCTGTGGTATGATAATACCTCCCTTCGAAGAAAAGGACCAGTTAGACTCACTCTTTTAGTTCTCATCCGTAAAGCTAGACTGGGCCGAAGGCCAACATATGGAATGTTATTCCCTTCTGCATAAGTTGATCGACAGAGCCGCGGTTTTGTCCCCGGTGTCGACTCTTAGTGACCGGCTGGCTGGTGTGTGCTTCACTAATCCAATGGAATAGTTGGATGATCTTACTCTCATTTACATTAATTTACATTAATTGATCATCATCATCACATTTATTTTACTATTGATCATGCATTTATCATCCTTCATGAGTAGGCTGTAGATTGTCATGCCATCATTGTGGTGGGTTGTGGGCTGTGGATTATGGTGAAGTGGTTACATCAGTGATCAACGGTGGGTTGCTGCAGGCGGACAGGCATTGTTCGAACAGGACAGGACAGAATTTTGTATCCTTACGTCCGGTATCTGTCTTTTTGTCTTACTTGGGACTTTGCATTGGCATCATAGATACTTACTGTAGGTACTTGTGTAAATAGTACCTGAGAGATGGATAATACTATATTCTGTCTACGTTATCATCGACTCCATATATTGTAGTCTTATATATATATCCCAGCTCACATTCCTTTGTACCTCCCACACTTAAAACGATCAATCAATTCCAAGACAACCCGTAAAACAATTGTATAACCCAAACCTTAACATCAACGTTGATCATCCCCAATTCTTTCGACACCCACACATACGCACACACGGAGCGATGGAAGAGTGTCTGTTGGTCCACGGATCCAGAAATTCCCTACCATTGGGTTGTCCCCGGGTAGGCTAGACACTAAGATAGATATTTTAGATAGTGTACTAAGTGTTGAAAGTAGAAGAATGATGACGATAAATAACGATAACCAGCCCAAAAATGGACTGTGACACCACAAAGTGACCAGTATGGAGAGATTCCCCTTGCTATGGATCAAATCAATCGATGGGATACTGCAGTCCCGGGCGGAGAAAATAAATAGAATCAGAAGAAAAAGAGCGGAAAGGTCCAAGTCATGATACACGGTGACGCAAGGTGGGTTTATCACTTGTCTCAGGATTCCGGGGTCTTACTCGATTCGTTTCATTTGTTGTCTGTCTGTTTATCAGACTTAACTGGTTTAGTTATGTTAGGGTCTTGTGTTGTTGGGTGGCTGTCGGTGTGTCAGGTTGGGTAGGTTGGCACATGACTACTAGTTACTATCTATCTATCGCTATCTATTTTCATCCCTACTGTGTAATTATATCTGTCTTAGTTTTCTCGTATATGCTATAGCTGGGTAGGTTGTGTATATTCTGCATCCTGGAATTCCAGCCGTCTCCATAGCATCCATCCATCAAGGTATCAGGTATTCCAGGATGACGCCAGTGGCAAATGGGGAGACGAAGGGGAGCCAGCCAGCCAGCCAGCCAGCCAACCGGGCCACACCCCCTCTCTCTCCCTCGATTCCCAGGCATCTACTTACTATCTTCTTCCTGCTCTTCCGAGTTCCCCGGGGGTAAAAAAAAAATAAGAGTGATGATGTACCTTACCTGGTGGAACAATACCCTTTCAAAATAGCCACAACCAATGATGATGAGTGGATGGGTATGGCGCGCTGGCTGCTTTGCCCCGGTACCTACAGGTGTCGAGCTGTGGATGGCAAACAGCTTGCTTTCCTGGAGCTTCCGAGCTGGTGTGAGTGTGTGTGTGAGTGTGTGTGTCCGACACAAACCGGGGATACTTGATTGATTGATAAATTGCAGATGCAGATGCAGATGCAGATGCAGCGGCCGTTGCATTGATGTGTGTAATTGTGTAGCTACGTAAGTTATCTCCTTGGGAGGCAATTATTCAGCCTGAGGCATGAGTAACTAGTGTGTATCTGAATACAGTAAGAGGAATACAGCGTGATGACAACACACACGTGATCTACAAGACGGGACCGGGATTTCTCGCTTGCAGACCCGAAACGGGCAAGCCGGGTGGAGCCGTGCAGGGACGACTAGGATGAACGCAATCGAGGTTGAGGAGTGGAATACACCACCCCCCCCTCCCTCTCCCTCATCCCTCCCTTCCTCAATCTGCTAGTAGGGGCTGTGTATGGAAGAATTAGGAAGGTAATCAAAGGAATGGACAACTTTATATATCATTTTCATAAAGTATCTGATTGACTCGAGGTGAAAGAGAGAGAGAGAAAGTTTCTGGGTCAGAATTGAGTTTACTTTTTTCCCCATGGTGATGACGAGAAATGGACGACAGGTCCAGTAGTAAAGTAGTCAAGAGAGTTTCCGAGTGGAATTCCAAGGCCAGTCAGTCAGGTCACCTCAGATACTAGACTAGTGCTACCAAAAGTATGTTGGCGGGTGGATGATGAAAGGAGTCATTCTTTTCTGGAAATGTTGATTGGAGAAGGGGGGGGGGAGGGACGGACCCTAAGGAGGTCGAGATTCAGGCGATAAACCCGGCCTACTACTAAATAACCAAACTACTTCGTGGTTAACTAACTATATCGCGTAAGCTGGGAAAATCATAAGAATAGTTAGTTGGCAAGTGATCAGAGCGAGGGGAGAGGGAGAAAGTTGTGTGGCACTGGCAGCAGCAGCAGCAGCAGCAGGAATGGCCACACCAGGTTTCGAGTCGTACTTTGGCCCAGACGATGCAAACATTGGGCCTAGACACTGGGCTGAGTACCCGCCCTTCCCGCCTGAGGATTCGAAGGGGAGTGATGACCATCATCATGGGAATTGAACGAGGAGAAGAAAGAAGATGGGATTAATTATGAGAGGAATTAGAAAGAAAATTGAGGTCTACAGTAAATATTAGAATAGTGCTCAACTGGATCTAAATAGGTATAGAATATGAACAGAATGCATGTGTATCTTGATTTTCCCCCAACGGTATGTCAGTATAAGCTGGTAACTTAACTAGTAGTAGCTCCTCGAGGTCGAGTCCCTTTGAAATCGGTGCCTGGGGAAAAAAAGAGAGAGAAAGAAAAGAAGGTGTGAAGAAAAGGGAAATTCCCACTTCTGATTCTTGACTCTTGACTACTGACTTGTTGCTCAGCTCTTTGGCTGCTCTTCTGCTGCTCTCTCTCTCTCCGCCCCTCCAAAAGTCAGTCATCCATCCACACCAAAGCAGCTGAAAAGAGGCGCTGACTGGCTCTGTTGCTTGCCTGAATTCGGCCAGAGGAATTCCATCCATTCCCTTTTCATCATCTCTTTCTTGCTCTTCCCTTCCTTTTCCCTCTCTCTTCCTTCTCTTCTCCTCCTCCTCCCCTCCCCAAATCCAGTCTAAAGCTTTTTGCTGCTGGTGCTGCCAACAGACCCAACGCCGTTTTGTTGATCCCTCATCCCATTCTCGTTTTCCCCTTCCACTTCCTCTTCCTCTTCCTTTTTTTTCTTGACTTGGATTCATTTCCTTCTTCCCTTATTTTTTTTCTTTTTCCTTTTTCCTTCCTTAGTCCTGCCTTTTTTTATCCTTTCCCACTTCCGCGCCCTCCCCCTCCCTCTTCATTTCCTTCCAATCTGCTTTCTTTCTTCTTCATCTGTGCACCTCCCCCTCCCTTCTTGCTTGATACCCGTTTTGGTTGTTAGAACCTGAATTGTGATTCATCCTTTTCCTTCCCATTCCGATCCCACCCCCGTCGGTGGCCAGTCACCCTCCACCAACGGCCACTTTCTCCTCTCCATCTGCGCGCCCACTTCCTGTCGGGAACGGCGACTGCAGCCCTCGACTACCTTCTGTCTCTCCATCTCATCCTCCGCTTCTTCTTCCTCCCCCTCCTCGCCCACCCGTTCGCCATTCCCTCCTCTCCGGTCCTCCACACCCTTCTCTCCCCTCGACTTGTTCAAGGGGCTAGAGACTCGACCTCCCCTTGTCATGCACAAGATTTCCAATTTCACGGGCCAAGCCCGTCATGGCTGGGAGCGTATGACGCCCACTTTTGGCATGTCTCGACCGCATACCGACATGACCTCTCACTCCCTCCGTCGACCGCATGGCGCGCCCCCCATGACTCCTCCGACCGGAATCGACCCGACCGTCAATCTCTCGTTTAACGTGCCCTTCTCCTCGACCCTTGCCGGTCCCGACGTCGACGATGTCCTGCATGCGAGTCCTGGCGCCCTTCAACGTTGGACCTTCCCCGAGGGCACCCCCGAAGGCACCCCCGTCCACCAGCTTCCCGTTCACGCGAGCAATGTCGATGCCCTGCGGAGATTGTGTCGACAAATCACTGAAAGCAGTAACGGGAGGGTCGAGGCGGCTGTGACCTCGTCGGAGCCCAAGACTGTCCCTTCGCTACAACGGCGCCCTCAGGGTTTGGCGACCAACGTCTGCATCACGGGTGATGGAGAGACGGTGCGGAAGATGCGAGCTAGGGTGTTGAACGAGACGCCCATTTTGTTGGTATGTTGATAATTCGACGTTTTCATACTCAGGTGACTGGAATCCGGTTTATCCGCTAACGGGTCATGTTATAGCGATGTGCGACCGTGGACGTGGACATGCACCTGATCCTGGATGGAACCACCAAGAATATCCGAGCGAGTGTTCTGGAGCATTTGGATACGCTGGCAGCCTATACGGGCACGGACATCTTCCTCCTGAGCCCCAAAATCCGTGACACGGATAGTGCGGTGGTGTCTTCTTATGGCTACGCCTCGGACAATGGGTTGGATCAACGCTTCCGGGTTTCCATCTACGGCGATATGGAGAGCGCTGAGCATGCCAAGACCAGAGTCTTGATTATGATCGATCAGATTGTGGGTTCTTTCTTCCGACCGATCAACGTCCGGCAAACTAACTGTTACTAGCTCAAACGTCACGTGGACGCTGTGAAGCTGGAGCTGACCATGCACACCTTGGTCTGCGGCCGTACTCGCAAGAACATCAAGCTGATCGAGGCTGCCACTGGCACGGCCATTTACTTCCCGCCGCCGTTCCCCCGCATCTTCGGCTACACGCCGCCGGGTGCTCACCGTCGCAGCGAGAACGAGGTCTACATCACCGGTGATACGCAGGAGCAGATTGCACGTGCGAAGCAAAAGCTCCAGGAACTTGTGATGGGCGTGAAGATCTACGTCAAGGATGTCATTGTCAACTCGAACAAGATCGACAACATTCTGCTCGATCGTCTGGATAAGGTCCGCAAGGTGATGGAGATGAACGGCTCCTACGTCCTCTTTCCTCAGCTCGGTACGCAGCGGGGTCTGGTTCGTATTCAGGGCACCGAAGTGTTGCATGTCGAGCGCACCGTGCGGGAGATCATGGCTTTGGTAGGGTTACACTGTACTTCATTCCAAACTGCTTTGTGTCTGACTAACGTTTGCAGGCTGGTCAATTCTACAGCGCGTCGTGGTGGATCATCATGCCGGACCCGTCGCAAGGGGGTTTCCGGGCGCCGTCTCCCGCAGACGTCCGCACCATGCTCTCTGACATCTGCAGCAACTCGGGCGCTGAAGTTAGCTTTGACAACCTGACGTTCACCATCAATGGCTCGGATGACGCGGTCAAGGCGGCGATGATGGTGATCAACCAGATCCCGTTTGTGCAGCGTAGCCAGTACCAGATGCGCGTGAAGATTGAACTCGCCAACGAGCACAAGGAATTCGTCAGCGGCAAGAAGAACGGCAAGATCAACAAGATCATGGGCCAGAGTGAGTTTACCGTATTCGCCACATGAGCTACGTACTAACGTATGCAGGCAACGTGCAAATCATCTTCGATGGTTTCAATGAGTACAACTTCTACATTGACGTGTGTGGGAATCAGTACGAGTCCACGAAGAATGGCTTGGATCTTGTTGAACAGGAAATGCCGGCGTCGATCTCGTTCCACGTGCCAGACCAGTACCACAAGCGCATCATCGGCATTGGCGGCCAGCACATCCAGCGCATCATGAAGAAATACTCAGTGTTTGTCAAGTTCTCCAACGCCATGGACCGTGGCGGCATGGGCAAAGAGGAGGACGACATCAAGGTTGACAATGTCATTTGCCGGACTCCTGCGCGTAACGCTCAGAGTCTGGACCTGGTCAAGCAGGAGATCATGGACATGGTCGAGAAAGTCGTAAGTCGCCATTCCCGGGTTGAGTTTTCGTTGCTAATTGGATAGGATGCCGAGTATGTCTCTGAACGTGTCGTCATCAACCGGTTGTATCACCGTGAACTACTCGCACGCATCTCTGAGATCGATGAGCTCGAGAAGAAGTGGAACTGCAAGATCGAGTTCCCTAGTACCGAACTTGCCAGTGACGTCGTGACTATTTCCGGACCCGAGTACCAGGTCCCACAGGCCGTTGACGCCTTACTGGTAAGTAGACTGCTCATGATGGATTTCATCAGTTCTAACCTTCGCAGGGAATGGTTCCGGAGAGCCACGAGCTACTCTTCCAGAGCTCTGCCGAGCTGCGCGAGTATTTCAAGTCGACCGAGTTCCACGACGACGTGTGTGCCAAGCTCAAGGACCAATACGAGGTCGATACCACCGTCGATACTAGTTCGGACCCTCCGGCCTCGGCTTCGGAGAGTGGCTCTTCTTCACCCGTGTTCGGGCCGGAAGACCGGGTTGTGCTCGGATATACTCGCAACAATGCCGGCGGACTCAAGGATGCCATTGACTTCCTGATCTCTCGATTGGTCGCTCACGGCCTCGACGCGACTACGGTCAAGGGAGCTATTCCTCGCCCCAAGTCGGACTCTTTCGAGGAGTCTCTCCCCTTCTTCGACTCCAAGTTGCTGCAGCATGCGCCCGCTCCCATTGTCACCGACTCCCCCACTCGCCCCAGTTTCTCGGATGAGACCAGCGAGCGCGGGTCCATCTTCGAGAGACTGCGGAAGCCCGGCAGCATCTCTTCCTTTTCTTCGTTCATTGGCCGCAAGAATCACTCGGCCTCTCCCGGATCTTTCTTCAAGCATGCGTCCAGTAACGCCTCGAAGGCGTCACTGGTCTCCATGGAGTCTCGAGACAGTGGCTACCGCAACCCATGGAATGATTCTGGCGTGAACCTTGCCGAGGACGACGTGCCTGTCCTCGGAAGTTCTCACAGCCACAGCAGCAGCAATGGCTGGCCCGCGCGCTTTGACACCAAATTTCCATTCGGTACCGCGCCAGGGGACATGACCCCCAAGCATGACCCCCGCGCTTCTTTTGACAGTGGTCGTCCTAGTACTTCCAATTCTACTTCTGGATACCCGGCCCCAATCGGGCCACCGCGTTAAAATCAATGTCAATTTGCAGCAGTATACCCCAAGAGACTTCTGTTTTTTTTCATCATTTAGTTTCTGTTTTTCGTTTTGATTTGTTGTCAGCGATTCGTGTTTCGGATTTATTTTGATACCACAGAGTGCAAGCCAAATAAGACGTCAGGAAGTGAAAGAAAAGATGCAAAAAAAAGCAATAGAGGGAAGAAGAATACGAGAAAGGCATTAGCATTGTGATCCTTTCCTTCCCTGCCATATTCTCCCCTCTACCCCTGGTTTTTCATTCGTGCGAGATGTTCGTTGTTGATCTTTTTGTGCTTGGTTGTTTTCAGCCGGGGTGTGTAGGTGCCAAATGAGTGTGCCCTTGGGAAGGTTTTATATGAGATACCAAACCGTGGAAGATGGGAAATTTTGCGTTCATACATTCCAGATATGATACCAAGTGAAACGATGGTGTACGAAGGTGTTTTTCTTGCTACAGATGTCGGTTTTGAAGTGATCATTGCAATCGCATATTTGCCTTTTGCCTGGGATGGATACTTCCCAACCAACCCATTTAGGTTCTGCCCTGTTTCGTTTTGGTCTTTCTTTTTGCGCCTTTATTATATACCTCTATGCGTACGATATCCAAGATCTATAGCGCGTAGTCATGAATGGGGTTGATGTCTCGTTGCAACGTGCTGCTCATAGGTAACGTAGATTGATAGACTACCCACAACATTAGAATATGCGTGCATCGGCATTTGACAAAGGTGCAGATACCAGCCAAGTCAAGTCTTACAGGGAATTCCACATACGTTTTTCCAGAGCAAACAAGGGGCCCTATACCACTTCATTGAATACTCCAGCATCAATACCATCATATACCCTATAGTATCATCCCCTTCACTCAAATACTACTACATTCAACCAAGTCCTCTTCACCATTCTCATTCCATTCTGTTCGCTATAGCCACTCACTCACTCGCCATCATTACCTGATATGGCCATCTTTCTCTACTATAAAAACCCCCTTCTTCCCTGCCAGCCAGCCTCCATCTTCTCCATTTTCTCTTCAATCCATAACTACACCTCAATATATAACCAAATTCCCATAATGAAGAATACCTCCAGCGAACATAGTGATGATCCTGTACCTAGTACATCAGTACACAATCCACATTATGATATTTGGCACTACCATCCAAAGCCAAGATAATATCTATACTACCTAATATTATTAAACATACTACTAATGAAGCATCTCCGCACCCACCCATTGCATTACATTCAACTTGCTCACCGTGCAATACACAGACATTCAAAGCGAGAATGAGCCACTATCAGACGTCTGTCCGAACATACGACAGCATGGAACGAGAACATAATATTTCTGAGGACAAATGATGTCAAAAGAGCACGAAACTGCATCGTCTTCGGAAATGGCCTCCACATGGACAGATTTG